GACGCGTCAAAATGGTTGTAGTGCGGAAGGCATCAGTAGCTGTACGTGGATATGCTACGTCATATGCTAATGAGATGAAATAGAAAAAGAAAAAACTAATTTCATATGAAACACTCAAATTTGGAATTTTGGGTGTGCAAAGCTTTTAATCTTTTTTCCTTTTCTTGTGGCCTCGTTAAAGACATGAAAGTGGTTGTGCGGAAAGAAATGAAAAAAGTGATTTAACCTTATGAAAGCTTCAAATCTCTTTAAATTTGAAAATATTTTCTTGTCAATTCCTCGTATTGTGTTTACCTAAAGATTGCAATAAAATGTTAGTAACAAATTTAATTACTAGCACTTAGAAGCTGAAGATTAGGCCATTAGCACGCAAGAAGACGCCTTTTATTAAAATCCAAAGAAGGAAGCTGTCCAGCTACAAGAGGCTAAATAAGGAGAATTGTTTGGAAATTTTCCAATTTTTATAGAAAATGGGATGAATTAAATTCTAAAAAGCATGTTCTCTAATCTGTTAGCAGATAAGACAGATGAATTCAGAGGAAACGACGCTGTGAAAGAAGTAAGAGAATGGGGGTGGATAAGAGAGAGAGAAAGAGAGAGAGAGTGGGTGAGAAGGGATTTGACTAAAACAATCGTTGAAGGAAAATTTTTATTTTAATTTTCATTAAAAGAATATTAAAATTGATATTAACTACGTCCAGAGAGATGAATTATATAGTTTTGGTCGTTTAAGTTATGAAAAAAAAAATTTGTCGGAGAAGGAGATGCGTGGCCATCAATCAGTTCATACCATTGTAATTTCAAAAAGAGTTAATAATATGTTGGATTAAAACAAATGAATGATTGGCAGAGGCAAGCTTGATGCTTCTGCTGTTGTCTATGTATGTGTGTGAGTGTATCGTCTGGAAGGAAGACAGCTTACACTCATACATAGAGCATGAGATACAGATAGAAGTTAACTGGATAATACTTTTTACCATATAAAGTGATGAAACACACGCACACAAAAAACAATAACTTAATCCATTTGTGAAACTGATGTCATCGATGCTGATCATTGGGAAATCTGAATAGATTAGAGAAAGCCAGTAGTTTCAGACGTAAAAATAGTATAAAAGATAGAAAAATTAAATCTCATCCATCCATCCGTACATCATCATCAATAACAGTTCATCAAATTAAAAAATAAAATTCAATAATAAACGTCAGTATTAAGTAAGTGGGGTGTTGGTGGAAAGATACTCTTGCGAGAAATGATGAGAAGAGAGGTATTTGTGGTATTTTTCGATTTTGAATCTCATAAGGATAGAAGGAGAGAGAGCATGAAGAGATGTGCTTTAAACAGATTTTTGTTTGCATAATTGAAATTAATAAAGTTTTTAATGAGAAAAATATTTTGTTGAGTTGAGATTGAGAGAGAGAGATCAAATATATAAATAATGAAGATGATTGGTATATGTTTCAAAATTTGAGTAAATGGTCTTAAATTGGCTTAGATATACGAACAAAACAGCCCCGCTGGCAAAACATCCAGATGCAATCTTGAATTATATGCTTGGACGAAAAGCTTAAGGAAATGTGGCATAATAATCCATGATGATCTGAGTTCTAACTGAATCATTTGTATTCATAAAGAAACATAAGGGCATAATAGCATTTGGTTGTATTAAAGAAAATTGATACTCATCCCCCCCTCTACACTTCTTCTATCCACCACCCTTCCTTTTCCCTCTCTCTCTCTCTCTCACTTTCCCTATCTCATCACCATCACTACTGCTACCACCCTATCGCACAAGCTTGCACAATTGACTTTTCGAGTTTTCGAACAAAAAAAAAGTGTCCTCTTCCTGTTTCTTCTATTTCTAATTTTTTATTTTCGTATTTCAAGAGCAGCGTTAAAGAATTAACGAAAAAATGATGATAATGTTATTATAAAATTGGGGAAATGAGAAGAACTTCAATCACAGAACATTGGCCAGAGAACAGGAGGATTTTGGATGAACGAAGGATGGAGAGAGATGGTATGAGATTTTTGCAAAATTGCGTGTCGTCCTGTGTTTTCAATCATTTCAAAAATTTGGATCAAATGAGATTATAAAATCTGTTGTATCCGAATAAATTTTCACAATTTTTAATGGTAACGCTTAATACACAATACCATATGGAGGATAGGTGGTAGTGTGAGAGAGAGAGAGAGAGAGCAGGAAGAGTAGTAGTCAACTGTCAGTGGGCCTCACCTTTCTTCGGATGTAACACATGCACGAAAGACAAGCCGCGGTATTTCCGTTTAAATGATAATTACGCTTATAACTATGAATAGTGTTTGCTCAATGAAGACTCTTACAGATCTTGCACAGTAGGGGGTCAATCTATTAGAACTTCCGGAATGGCACATGAAAGGAAGTATGATACTTCAGATAGACTTAGGTTGTTGTTAGATAAACAATGCTAACAGTTATTGACATGGATACGGAACAAGCCGATTAGACTCTCTGCCCTCCAAAAAAATAACGAAACGGTGGGGTCTCTCAAAAAAAAATAATAGAAAAGCAAAGTGGGGGAGGTAGACGGTGTGAAAGTTTGTGATATTTGAATTTGGTGATAGACGACAATGGTTTGTTTAAAAATCATTCCAAGGATTTCTCGACTGGTTCATTATATTTCAACCTTGAAAGAACATTGGCTGACTTCATTTAGTCACAGCTGGAGATTAGCAATCGTTTCAGATAAATATTAGCTGATGATCAAAATGGGTCTGATAGAAGGCATATGAATGATTTGAAATGAAAGAAGCAAAGAAATAAATAATAAAAAAACAGTTGATCTCCGTCGTGTTTGAGCTTATGAGGAATATCATGGATCAGGATCAAATTGCTTTTTGGAGGCAATCCTAATGAAAGCCATGGAATGCGGAAAAGAGAGAGAAAAAATTTGAAAATTGGCTTGATGAGATGTTTTTGAGGGAGAAAGATGAGTCATTGTTTCGAATGAGATTTATGATGAATGATGAACTATCGCATGTTATTTGACGAAGTTATTATGTGAAAATAAAGATTCAGAATAGAAGAGACGACCAAAAAAAAAGTTTTTTTTTATGACAGTTTGTAGAGTCCATATATGGATAGATGTATCTCTAACTAATACGATTATTAATAAGTTCGAATCTGTGTTCGCTTTCTTTCGAAATAGCCAATTTGACGATTACTCATGCCGACTAAAGATTAACTGGATATTCAATTTGAAAAGTTCAGGAGACGGTATTTTCTTAATTTGCTCTTTGGTATCGGGGGAGTAGGATGAACTAATGGCAGTTTCGTTGAGACAATACAATATGAGAAAGTTTGTCAACGACTACCTGACAAGTCTTCTGTTGCGTTTGACACATCTTTCATTTGAATAATTTGAAAAGTTATTAAAGGAAACCATGTGTGCGGCGACTATCCAGAAGTCGAATGAGATACGGAAGACAAGATTGGATCTACTGTGGGTTAACTATCATACGTTGATAAATTTTAGCCGTATTAAATAACGTTTAACGATCCTGAGCAGTTTGTTGAGAGGGTTTGAAGAAAGAATTTCTCAGCCAATTGTTTCTGATTTCACTTAATCTAACTTATCAAAGTACATTATTTTGAAGAAATATTAGATTTTTGTCTTCGTAAACGTTTTCTTGACAACAGAGTGTCAGCTCTATTGCAAACTTTCCGAGACCCTGCTGTGCGTATATGGTGGCAATGAAAGAATTCAGAGACAATTCAATGAAATTTTTACTAAATAACTAATTTGTCTAAATTCTTGAAGCAATTTATAAAACTCAAACACATTGTGTGCTTAACAAAGCATATGTTAGTTATAAGTTAGGAACAATTCTTAAGAAAATGGTCTGAAGAGAGTTTATATCCATTGCCTAACTTATGAACATTCAGCTATTCATTAGAACAATTCTTATTTACCTTTGTTTATTTAGGCATACTCATGGCTCACTTGAAGTTATCTACTTCATGCTCATGTTCAACAATGGTCTCCAGAAAGGGTTCAAAATATCTCTCTTACATAACTCAATAATTTGTTTTAACATCACCCCCTTCACCACCTCTGATGAATTTATTGAGAAACGAGGAAATTGCTTCAATCTGATGAGGAAGACGTAAATTTACCCCATATGCCCAGAATTGGATCACGTTAATGAGAAAATGGTCGGTGAGTAGTATTAGAAACGAATTATGAGTTTAAAAGGGAATGATTACGAAATGAAAACATAAAAAAAAACTTTTTTCATCAATCGAAAACACACGCACGTAACAATAATTATCTCTGGTTGGCAACTTCATTCATTTGCATTGCTCCCAATCTACCTGTCTCAAACATCATGTTCGGATGACAGCTCGTCATCTCGACAGATGTCGGTATGTCAGCAGATTACAACAAAACATCTTCAAATTGGTGTTATCGGATTTCCTAACAGCCGGATCGTGATTTTAATCATTTTAATCTTTAAGGAATATATTATTGTCCTTCGACTTTCCCTTATACTTCTGATAAATGATGACACCTGTTACAAATGAAACCGAAATCATCCTAGGGACAAACGACGCTTCTATTGAAAATATCCTGTTACATTAATTCTAAAAAAGTCAAATTTTAAATCCGTTAATAACTTGATATGCTATGGAAAAGAAGAAATTAGATATTCACTAAGAAGATTTGCCTACTCTCAGTAAACAAATCCGAAACCTAATAAATCGCAAATGAATTTTTTAAATACTTTTCTGATAATATGTTCTCAAAAAATGCAAACATTGAAAGTAGAGAATGTCTTATTAGCAGTAGGTGGAGAATGTACAGCAGAAGCTTAATGAAAACAAATATAAACTAGTTACAGTCTAAGAATGAAATAGAATACATATGCAATAGTATAACCGTAAAAAAGAGTATCCATATAAATTAAAACAACTTATTATCAGTTAACACTTGATAGTTTTCATTAATGTGTAAAAAAGTTACAAAGATTGTAGATCGTTTAGGTTGCTTCCACCAGGGGGTGCTCTGAAAATGCATGAACTTCATGATCGGATTTGCTTTTAAGTATCCATCAACTTCTATCGCATTAGAAAGTTGGTTTTTCAGCAGGTTACGCGCGTCTCAAAGCATGTAGAAACAAAAACCGACGGTGTGCTCGTTATTGAAAGGTTCAATTAGTCAAGCTCAGTGTTCAGAATGCAACCGTTCTGTGAGTATGCGAATGCAACCGTTCTGAGAGCATAAGAATGCAACCGTTTTGAGAGTTTCAGAATGCAACCGTTCTGGGAGCTTGAGAATGCAACCTTTCTGCGAATATGGGAATGCAACCGTTCTGAGAGTATGAGGATGCGATTCTTCTATTCGAGGCATTTGCCGAAAAACCAAAATCTAACCGTTAGGATGAATGAAGGAAGGTTGTGAATGAAATTATGAAAAACTCACTGAGAAGTTGACTGGCTATACGGGTTAGGTACAGGAACAGGAGCATACGGATTATGAGGTAGTGCAGTTGCAGGAGGAGGTCCATACAAATTTGGCGGTGGTTGCTGCCAATGAGCAGCTGGAGGAGCATACGGGTTGTAAGGTGCGGGAGGTAGGCCATAAGGAGGCATATTAGCAGGAGGTCCTATAACGAAAATATAGTTTAAAATATAGGTTATTTATCTACCTTGATAATAATGGTTCATATAGGGTCCAGGAACACCATAGTTTGGAGGTCCTTGAGGAATAGGTTTTGGAGGCAAAACTTTTGGTTTCCTTGAATGATATAGTTGGCAAGCATGTTAAACCAAGAAACTAACGCTATTGGGTGAGGAAGTTCCATCTCCACCTCGTTCCTAGATGGAGCAGCTTGAGTGACCGGCACAGGCGCAGTAATTTTAACATTTTTAGGAGAGGTTGTTTGAACTGGTTGTTGACTGGGAATTGAACTCGCAACAGAAGGAATAGGCTTTGCCGCAACTACCGGCTCATTCTTTTTGACGTCTGGGACGTTCTCTTTCACACGTTTCAATGATGGTTCTAAATAGTACGATATATGTTTCATGCTGTGATGTAAAAAACGAACCAGACACATCCTCATCTAAAGGTTTTCTTTTCTTGGCTTGGTTAAAGTCATCCTTTTCTTCGGAAGTTTTCTTCACTTTCGGGGTTTCTTTAAGAATAACTTCTTCCTCTTCATCTTCTTCTTCGTCTTCTTCCTCTTCGGCGTCATCCGGCTTGAAATCTTCTTCAGAATCATCAGAGCTGAAAAGGCGATTCGAGCATGATAATAATATGTATTAGGTACTCACTTATCAGGAGGATTGCGTTCACTTCTATCCAGTGCTCCAACAGGTCTTTCCTCTTTTTTCTTGAGTTCTTCTTCCTCTTCCTCTTCTTCTTCTTCATCTTCATCCAATTCGTCATCACTTTCCTTCGTTGTTTTTGCTTTCACGACAGCCTTCCGCATAGGTCTAAATCACAGAATTCAAAAAAAAGTTATCATTAAGTGAGATACCTTCCAGTTTCGGTTCTTGGTACATCTTCATCATCTTCAGAAGGAAGCTCAAGTTCTTCTTCATCTTCATTATCTTCTGATGAAGAATATTTTGCTTTCTTTGCTTTTTCTCTTTCTTTTTTCTTTTGAGGTCCATAGTCTGAATCGTCAGAGTAGTTATCGGATTCTTCTGAATCGGAGCCATTCCTTAAATGAGCATTATAAGAAGAGGATGATTGGTATAGAACGAACCATCGTCCCTTCTTCTTCTTAATTTTCCGCTTTTCTATCTTCCTTTTCTTTCCTCTATAACCGAAGTCACTGTCCTCAGATCCGGACACAACAAAATCTTCGTCACTCTGCGTGGGACCATACTCTCGGAAGCCAGCAGCTCGTGTTCCCGACCTACAAACAGAATACTTAAAAACTTATAACAACACTAATCAACCTTCTAGTCCTCCTCTGCTCATCTGAAGGGACATAATCGGATCCTGACAATGCTTCTTCCTCATCTGCTACTTCCTCGTCGGATCTTAAAGACGGAGGTCTTACAACACAATGAAATATCGAACGTACTCATTCGCTTGATACTCTTCAGAATCACTCTCCTCCCTATTGTCTATGTCCAAATCGTTCAACTTCCTTTTGGGCTTGGCCTGAGACCGTGCTGGTTTCCCTAGTTGGCTAAAAGTAACAAAGTCAAAGTCCATCTGCTATTGATTAAGGTGTACCGTTCAACTTCGTCGTCTTCATCACCCTCAACACTTCCTTTTCTAATTTTTTCAGCTTCCAGTATATTAGCCATATCCTTTCCTCTCCCTGCACCTCCTGTAGGTCTCACTACTCCTGTGAATTCGATCTTCAGATAACATTTTGAAAAACCATGACATACCAGCAGGACCTGGCTCTGCTTCTTTTTGTGCAGAGTCTCCTAATTCGGTGCAGGCTTCGTGTATCATCGAATCATACTCAGAGAAATTGTAGTCCACATGCTTTGTTCGACGCCGAGAGCGTCCTTCAGCAATAGTTTGGATCACTTCCATTTGGAATTTCGATCGTGGGGCTATTCTCCTATACATTATATTTAAGAACGATACAGGAAAACTACAAACTTCACGGCTTTACGTTTACTTCTTCTTTGTCCATCATCTTCATCCGATGAGGAGCTTGAGGATGGTTGAGCTTGTTTCATCTAAAAACAATCGAGTATCGAGTGATACCTATGCGTGAAAACTATACCGTTGTTGGAATGATATTGTTCAAAGAAACACCAATATACTCCATTTCCCTACGTAATCTATCAGCTGCTGCTTTCTTTCTGAAAATGGTTGAGTCAGTCAAAAGAAAATATTTAAATAAATTTTTATAGTCAGTACCTGTCTTCTGATACCTTAAATGGATCAGAAGAATCACAAGCATCACTCATTCCTAAGTTCTCGATTTGCTCACTTATATGAGCAGGTGACACATTAGATGATTTTTCAATTTTTTCCATCGTAAAGATATATGACAAACTTTCTTGTCAAGCCTATAGCCTATGTGTATTGACTACGTATATAATCAAATGTAAAAGGTTAAGAACAGAACATTGTGATGTTTCTATCACATATATTTGTCCTTGTCGATGAACGCTTGATATAAAACTTCGAGGAAAATGTGAAAAACGATAGAAACCAGACGTCGAGACAGTTCGGAATTGAACTGGCAACAAGCCAATCAATCGCTATCTTCATACATGATAACAAACTAGCTAGATAAGAGTCTCATTGCACCTTCTCACACTCTCAACTTCCAGTTATGCCACTAGAGTACAACTATACCAAGATTGGTCGATTCCCCCAACTTATACGCATATACTGATTTGTTTCTTTAATTAAAAATGTGAACACACCTTCGATCTTCTGCCATTTTCTTTTTCAAATGACCATCCAAGCATTTTTCCACCTCTTCAAGTCTTTCGATAAGCATGCCATGAACACATTTTGGACAGAACCAATCACCGTCAGGCACAAACCTTAGAAGAGACATGTAATAGATTACAACTCTTCGCAACTCACCATAACATAGGTTTCAAACAATATGTGTGCCACGCATCGTCACAAACATCGCAGAGAAGTAACTTCAAAACCATAACATAAAGAGAAAAACGGTATTACAACTTACAACGTCCCAATCAGAACTTTTCTTGCATTGCCCGCATGCAGAGTCACCGGTAGCCAACTTTCTTTCTTTTGGTTCCTACACACATGGCTATATTAATACTTCATAATAACAGATACAAACCTCATCTTCATCAGAATCGTCGTCATCGTCGTCATCGTCCAATTCAACTTTCTTCTTTCTTCTTCTCTTCTTTCCTTTCTTTTTCTTCTCACTCTTAGGTCGGAATTCATCATCATCGTCATCTTCGTCATTATTATCTTCCTCCGATTGGAATTCATCCTCCTCTTCATCTTCTTCAGATCCTGACTCAGAGCCCGATGCAGACTACAACAAACGAAGGTAATTGCGAAAATATATTATTATAGTAGCTAACCTTCTTTTCTTCATCATCTGCCTCTTCTACTTCTTTCTTCTTACGAGGACCACTACCTTAACCGAGAAAATGAATTTGACTTTAGAAATAGAACAAACTTTTTCGAGGAGTAGTGGCAAATTTCTTTAAATTAGAAACAGCTTTACTAGCGGCACTACGACGAGGCATCATTCGGCGATCCAACTGAATATTTAGGTTATAACCTTGTTGGGAGATGAAACTGACTTCTTCTTCTTGCTCTTCTGGTTGCTTCTCCTCTTCCTCTTCTTCCTCTTCTTCATTTTCACTCTCCTGTTGCTTCTTTTCTCTTCTCTGTTTTCTTTCTTCTTTCTGCTTAATAAGGTCTTCACGCATTTTCTGCAAGTCATTAATTAAGTACAGAGACAAAAGTAGAGAACAAACCTTAACAGAGGCATCATCATAGCAAGTATCTAAGAAGGTTCCTTTTTTGGTAGTCATTTGAATGAGCCCTTCCTCTTGCTGAGCTTTTCTGGCCTCTTCTTTCTCTTTCTCCTGAGATTGGAAGATAACTTTTGTAAGATGTAGGAATTGACTAACCTTCTTCGTCGGCTCCTTCTTCACATACCCTAAATCCTCTTTCTTCAGACGGGCTATTAAATTGATTAGATCCTCAGGAGTGTTAACTACTAAACTCCAAGTAACGCCACTCAAATCATCAGGTTCTTCGGTATATACGCGGATGTTATACTCCACGTCCTTTAAAACAATTCATGAGAAAGCAAGATATAATAAGAACAAACTTGTTGAAACCAATAAGAGAAACCATTCTTATCCATTCCGACAGGTATGAGACGCAAATCAACAGCTTTACAAGCTGCTACCATCTGGAATAAATTCGAGAGGATTAAAGAGTATTTCAATTGGCTTCTAATACATTTTCTTTCAGCCGAGGGTTGAAATCGAACTGTGCGTCACATAAATATTTTAAAATCAGTATCTTTGTTGAAACGGGTAGGTGGACATAGCCATATCTGAGTAAGAAAAGAATGAAAAAGCATGAGTTCATATACTTACCTCTCGAGCTGCAGAAGTTCAGTACTAGTACCTTCACTTATTTCTAGAAACTTCTTCAAATAAGTTTCCCAAGTTTCGAAGCGAATAGAGCTCATCCGTAAACGACGCATCAAGGCTAGATGCAAATCGATCAACTCTTTGCTAACTAAAATTGAGTATATAAAGCTATCAATCGTCATCAACATACTTCTTCCTTGATCATCGAACGTTGTGAGCATATTTTCTAACTTAGGAAACGACATAGGTTTGAATCCTGGAAAAAGAAATGAGGATTGTAGATAGAAATGCTATGAACATACCAATCATTGCTCCAAACTTATTGAAAAAACTACATATGGATGCGAAATCAGGATTACTATGTAATTGTTTCACATCAACCTTAAAACATCAATGTCTAATGCTTCAACTAGAAAAAAATGATACCTGAGGAGGAGGTTTAACTTCAACATTCTCATTGGGTGCAAGAGCATCCTCCTCGCTGTCTTCATCTTCTCCTTCTACTTTAGGAGATTTAATCTAAGAAACAAAGAATAAAAACAAAAAATAATATGAATACGTACTACTTCGGTACCGCTTGGCTCTTTGGCCTCGGTAGGTTCAACTGTCTCTTTGAGATCACTTGTATCATTTTTTTCCGTTTTTTCTGGTTTCGCTTCAACAGTCTCACTCGTCTCTTCTTTCAATTCAAGTTCTTCTTTTTTAACATCTCCATTCATCATGGAGAATAGTTTAATGCTAAATTAACCCATAATTAATAAGTGAAACATGTGGTTCCGACAAGGCGGCAAGAAAGATGAGAAACAATACACAATGGCTTTTAAAACAATCAAAAGCAAAGTTATATGACAACCTATACATAACAAGACCCTTCTCTTTGTACTGATTAAAATTCCATATTCCAATCGTGCTACTATCGTTTACAAAACAAGAAAAATATTAAAATTTCAGAAAATCAATTTCAAACTAAGCGTCCTACGAGAAGGAATGACGCGGGTCAGCGCGTAAACAGCATGCAAGCAATCTTTGTTCAACCAACTGCGTCTATTGGGAACCAACCGGTCTCACAGCTTTGAAAATAGAAATAAAATAAGTTAATAGATACTTTGAGAGGAAGGGTAAAAGATTAGGGTTTCTTGATTTCATAGTATGGACTAAGTTGTGGTAGAAGAATTGGTTATTTTGTTTGTCAAGAATAAATCGTTTTCTTTTCGTTTATGCTTGCCAGGCAGACTAGCCACTGAGCGTTGATTCCTTCTTAATGCTAGCTCAATAATAATTGATTTCGTGCCGCGCACAACCTTAAACTTCTCGAGAAATTGAGTTATCATCCAAATACGTTTTCACAGGAAAGGAAGCTATCGTGTTTGATGATGAAAGTGATTTTAACGTGGGAACCGTGACCCTTGTAAAGTCATTTCGCCGGGATAATTGCAAAGAGCGGTCGAACATGCCCCGACAAACTTCTTCTCAGCATTCTGTGAAGTCTAACTCGAGGATAACTAATAAGGAAGTATGTTCTATTTGTCAGTATATCATACCATGAATACTAAGATGTGGAGCTCGGTCATAGATAATATAGAAACAATAAAAGAAACCCTGGACGTTCTCAATATCAACAAGCAGTTGATCACGATCATGGAGCAATTGACCCTAATGAGAGAATCCATAGACGATCTAAAGACAATTACTTACAATAGATGTTATTACTTTGAGATTTCCTGTCTAATTAAGCATTTCAGATTGTATGAACCATCATATGGAGAACTATAACCTGATGAAAGCAAATAACATGTGTAACCCCTGCCAGAACATCCAAAAGTATTCATGTCATTGGTGTGAACGCGAGAGGTATGAGGTTCATACAACATCACCAAGCAAGCCTTTACACCATCATGGCAGAAGATGCATGAAGTTGCATGCTGTGAAATCGTTGATAAACGTGGAGAATAGAAGTAAGCTTCCCGATTCAATACATTACAACTTCTGTTACTTTAGACTCAATATCAAGTGCGGAGTCTTCGATAGATTCCTTGCTCACCAGTTTCATCGAGCAGAAAACAGAACCAGATGAAGCCGATTGCGCTCTTTAGTTAGTGTTCAGCTTAATGTTCATAGCCTCCATAAATGTTTGTGTCAGTGAAGAGGTCTGAAGTATATTTTTTCAATGATAAATATGGAAATATGATCCTGAAACTACCGTGTTTATATCTGACCTCTACGTAATGTCCAGTAACAAACCTATTATAAACACAAAATCATCCATTTTGAAATGAAATTAAGAAAAGTAACAACTTTCCTTTTTCTTTTCTTCTTATTTCAATGGGTTCAATCTCAGTTAGATTATGGTAGTTGTCTGTTTAGCATGTAGTATATCGAGTTCTTATCTTTCAGAGTACTTGGATCAACAGGAGGATGGCATCGAGATTATAGGTATGATAACAACTTGCGTATTCATAACAATTACTTTATTCAGATGAAAAGTCTGATGGAGAGTATCAACGGGAATTAGAAAGGAACATCATCAAGCATGGCGCCACGAAGCCACTCAAGAACGGAAAGGTAAAACTGTATAATTCGTATTCATCTAAGTATGACGTTTAGGTTAGGGTGGATTATATCCCAGCGCACTTGTCATATTTTTCTTTGGACGAAAAGCAACAAATGTTTTATGCTTCCTATACGATTTGCTTGGTGAATCACGCGGAAGACATGGTTGGATAATGAAACGTTTGATGTATTTTTAGGCATGGACAGATGAACGGATGAAATGGGATCCACGAAAATATAATGGTATTTCATATGTCTCTGTTGGGCCTTCTGACATTTGGAGACCTAAATTGTTTGTTGTTGGAAGGTATAATAATAGCCGTTCTTTGAAATCATAAGCCGTCTTTAGCGGAAGTGGAGCTTGGGACATCACTGACTACCGACCAGATCGTATCAAGATACGACAATACGGAGAATTACAAATTCTTTCTTGTCCGACATACTACGTCAAAGTGGGATGTGCTCTAGGTTGAAATCATATTTACAAGTCATCATGTAGAGATTATTATAGATCTCTCTAATTATCCAAATGACGAGCATGGTTGTTATTTCGTGCTCCAATCAACTGAAATCGATGTGGAGTTAGGAAGTCCCTTGTTAGTCCCAGGAATTGATGAGATGTTTGGTATGTTGATAATTCTGATGACTCTCACTGTATTGTCTCAGCCATCACAATAAATGAGAATAAAGTTCTGAACCGAACATCAACTGGAAGTTTCTCTTTATCCAACATGGTTGCCTTGACTCAAAGAGATCCAGATGCGCAGTAAGTCTAACCTATGTGAGTGAGTATCACTATATAAACCTTATTTCAGCGATACCATTCTAATGGCATTCACATTGAAACGTAATGCACCATTCTATTATTATGCTACTGTGACTCTCCCATCTCTTATTTTTGCTCTTCTGAACATCTGTGGGTCTCTCATAATTGAGAAATCGTATGCTGCTTCTGTTTTTCTGATCAACATTCTCTTCATTGCCGTTTTCATGCAAGATATGATACAAGTTCTACCTCTGCATTATGAAACACTGCCTCATCAAGGTAACAAAGCCCATCATCCTCAATGTTATCATATGTTTCAGTCATATTCTGGTCATTACATTTGCTATTAGCCATAATTGGGTTTGTCTATGTTCTCATCAAAGAGATAACAAGGAGACGAAATAACGATGTCATCATCATTTACAAACTGCCAGAAAGACTAGGTATGTCAATCAGTTGTAAATAGCTTGTAAAACTAACCGCCCTTTAAGATGATTGGACAAAATCGTACGTTGTACGACAGATCTTCTCTATGCCATGCATATTCATAGTGACAACCTTATTCTCATTAATTTTGTTTTTCTTCTAGAAAGCTCTTCTCATAAACTTTATTGTTAAAAATTAAGTTTCAACATTACATTATAAACACATCATTATCTGTTCGAAGTTTCAAATCTTTATAGGTCCAACCCAGTTACTAGTGCATTCATCGACAGTTTTGTTATCATCGGGTGGAACGAATGACACTGCAAGTTAAACATAGAACAAACGAAAAAACATCGGCGAACTTACTCCGTCTATGGCCATTGGAAACACGATATTCCATTGATCGTTCCTGAAATGTCGGAGTAATTATGTTGTTTAGGCATTAAGTACTCTAGAGCAGGAAGATGTAGTCGGCCGAGGAATGGGCATTGAATAGGAGTGTCTTCTCCGCCTTCTTCGTCGCCTTTTCTAATAATTCATAAGATAAGTTTCTCAATGACTAAAACCTTCTCCACGATACAAACAAAGCTGCTGAAGATTCCAAGTATTAGAGGAATCAACGTTAGAAGGAACATCGTCGTCTGATCCGAAAGATCATCTGAAAGAGTTATGAACGGTTTTATGAGAACAGGAAAAAACAGACCGATATTCATGATTACTGGAAAAAAATGAAAATGCTGCAAAGCAAGCTTTAAGCTTTAATTTGCACATGATGATTGAGCCTGTGCATAATCACTAAGCCCATGGTTAATGGAAATTACTCCGAATTTGCGCCAAAGCTGATAATCACGTCAGTAATTTTTCGTATTGGGGAGGCCGCGTACGAATGTACCAGCTTTGCATTTTGAAGAAATCCAACCGGCTCGAGGTTGCATGGATTATTGCAACTTCATCAATCCGACGCATAAGTTGTTAGAATGCAGAGACAAACTCCGAGAACTAGCACAACGTGGAGCTGATACTTCAATTGAAGATTTGAAAAATGTATCATTGTTCACTAATTTGAATAACATGAACTGTTTTGTAGGTATATGACTTAGTAGTTCAAACACTCCATGATATTCCTCAAAGCGATGGAGAAAACAAATCAATCCGAAGTTTGACTCTAATAAGTCATATGTTAAGTAAAGCAGCTCAATTTGAAGCTAATCGGGAGAATCTAGGTTCGTCATCATCTCCTCAGATTCCATTTGGCATCATTCCAGGTTTAGGTTTGCCTTCGGATCTTATCGAAAATGTGTCATCAAAACCATCACAGCTCCATGAGTTCGTTTTTCTCGATATATGTATCTCAGGGATGCTAATTCTCTAGAAATTATCAAAATATGGAAGAAGTTAACACTGCATGCCAATCAGACAGTAGTCACAAAGATAAATTTGACGACTTTGCCGAGGCCAGGAGGTCGCTTCTTTACTTGGTTGTTCTTTAACACCTCTCCTTGTAGAAATGCAATTGAAAGCACTATTGTAAGAGATATAGAAAGTTTACCAGTTCTCACAGATATAGCGGGTTTAACGGAGGTATTATCACATGTTGTAATAGTTTAAAATGCTTTGTTTAGGCGAAAAATGCTCTGAGTGAAGCCCTGGTTGATCCCATCCTCTATCCCGAGTGGTTCTCTGAAACTGACTTGAAACCATGGAAATCGGTTCTTCTGTATGGTCCACCTGGAACAGGTTTGATCATCAGCAACAACGAGTTGTTCAAATTTACAGGGAAAACTGTGTTATGTCATGCTGCAGCAAGAGAAATCGAGGCAACTCTTTATCAGGTACTTGAGATTAATGATGAACGTTCCAATGTTTCTGAAGATATCTTCCTCTGACTTGATCTCTTCCTGGAGTGGTCAATCGGAAAAATTGATACGAGAGCTGTTTGATCATGCTATTAAGCTGAATAAAGGTTTGTAGGTTTCGCATTACACGTGTAACAGACATCTGATTAAGTGACAGTGATCTTCATTGACGAAATAGATAGCTTGTGTAGGGTCCGCTGTTCGACTGAAGATGACTCTAATCGTAGAGTTAAAGTAGGAGTCTCACTATGATTTTTTTGAAAACGTCATTATAGACAGAGCTACTAGTACAAATTAGTAAACTGCAGAAAACGACCGGCATCATGCTTGTGTGTGCAACAAATTGCCCGTGGGATCTGGACCCCGCATTTCTTCGGAGGTGAGACATGATCTTGCATCCAAAGGTATGAAGATTTAGGTTTGAAAAGAAGATATACGTTGGATTACCCAGTACTTCTGCTCGGATTTCTATACTAAGAAAACGTCTCAACGTATTTTAGCTTACAGTTATGTTTTAATAATGTTTTGATTAGAACACTACTCGAACGCCTGCAGTCAGTTACGAATGGCTTGCAGCCAAGACGGAAGGTTTCAGTGGAGACGATTTGAGGAGGTTCTCAAGTGAAATCGCGTATGCACAATTCAGACAGTATAAGGTTGGTTTCTGTTTTGCTCACATTACTCCTTCACACAACTGTTGAAGGAACGAAAAATCCTAACTAAAGAGAATGCTCCCTGCAACCCAGTAAGTATAGGTCTCATAGAGACTGTGTTGGCCAAGTTCGTACGTTCAGTCGACGAACAACAGCTTTCTAAGTTTCATGAATACATGAACAAATAAGATTTAGAAGAGATTGTAAATCATTTTATAACAAAATCTAATAAAAATATTATTAATTTAACAGAATATTACTACAGCGTTAACTATATTAACCAGTTGTCAACCCAAAGTAAATTGCTTCGGAACACATATTTCAATAATCAGTCTATTCAACAATCACCAAGTTATTGAAGCCTCCAAATCCATTAGGGATTGCGGAATATAAAGGTGAAGTAGTCCATGATCCGTTTTTCAGGAATCTGAACTCATGTCTGGAAAGAAACAGGTTGATCTATGTTGCTCGGTAACTGTACTTACTTGCCACGTGGCAGATCTAATACTACACCTGTTTTTCCTTCTCTGTTAACATCACATCTTACAGCGCATTGCCAATTGAGGAAGGAAGACTGAAGAAACATGAGGATGAAGAAGTTTTAGCTGATTCTTACCAGAACAAAAACTTCTGATTGTTCATTATTTTCAATTTCTAAAGTCACTCTTCTACTATCGGCATGCGATACAGTTGGGTAGCCGAAAGTATTATGAACTGGGATTGAATAAGAATTAAAGTTGGGAATCACTTGTTGCTGTGAAAAGACAGCAGGGAATCTAATGAAATAATCATATCACCGAAATATTTAGCGTCCTTACTGTGAATTGGCAAGTTGCCAATATCCGGGTTGGTCTTGACGAATTGCATAAGTCGCGGTGCACTGTGGAGCAGCTTGTGGACAGCTGAAAACTTTGTTTTTATCTTTAATACTTTTATTTTAATTTCTTTATATTATTCAGATTCAAATATGGTTAACTCAAATCGAGCAACCTGTTAATTAGAACTTCAAAAAGCGTTAGGAAACAGCACCCCTTACCGTAAAGATATAATCAACCTGGAATTTCGATTTCGAGTAGGCGAGTCATTTACAAATTTCATATATGATATCCCAAATACTTACTGTTCATTGAGGTTTTGAATTTTGTTGCCGGCAGTTTCCAAGAGATACTTTTGATGAGCCAGACTAGATTCCAATTCTCCTACCCTGTAATATGGGAATGTTATGCTCTGATATATTAGGAACACGGATATAACGAGAGTACAACGTACTTCCACTTAGAATCGTTCCACCATTGGTTGAGTTCTCCAAGACGCCATTCTAATTTCGAACGTTGTTCAGCTAGTTCATATATACGTTGATCCTTCTCAGCCAGAATTGCTGCGTTCGTGGACTCATTTAAGCGATGCCTATATATGTGTCTCGTGATACTACTTCCTGTCTATCTGGCATTACCTCATTTCGTCATTAGCTCCCTTGAGATATCCTATATCCTTTTCTAGTTTGCTAACACGTTCATTGGCGAACCAGTTGGCTTCTTGTAACTTCTGCTTATCTGATTCAACTATTCTGAGCTGATTGTTGGCCATTTGTAATTTGACATCCAAAGCTCGGATCTAGTAAAATCATTTTGACCATAAAACTGAGGGGGTTGGCTTACCTTTGATGGGGCATCTTCGTGTGATTCTGATGTATTTCTGCTTCGGCTTTTAGGCACTGCAATCTTCTGTGTTATGATAAAACGCGTATCTTTACCTTGAATGGAGACTTCTCCAGGAGACAAGATGTTCAATTGGTTTTCCAAGTAAGATATCCTTTAATAGAATATATTAATCTACAAGGACTGAGGGAACAGAACTCACTTATCTCTAGCATTTTTCAGGAGGTCTTTATTTTGGTCCAGTTCGTTCTGAAGGTTGAGATGAGCCTTCTTGCGGTTACCTAATTGTTCTCGGAGCTCCTCGATGACATTATGGAGATTACTTGATGTTGAAGTAAATGAATGCCTTCATATATCTGACTTACTTGATCTCTTCATCCTTCTCCACTAGTTTCCCACTTCTAAATAGTGAGTTAATACTAATGAGTCTTATTAATCAACTTACAGCTGTTTCGAGTCATCAGCTGCCTCGACACTGCCAACGGATCTGAAAACCTTTTAGATACAAGTTATGAACTTATGACTTTACATGTTGCTAGCTGAAATTTCTTGGCTCTGAACCACATCGGAGAAGTTTGCAAGTTTAGATTCAAGCTCTGAGTTGCGAGCTTTCAACTTTTCTACTTCCAGTTCCGCATTAATGGATACTCTAAACGAATATGATGCGACATAAACCACCTCAAAGTACCTCTGATCTCTTTTCTTCAAGTCTTCGTTTTCTTTTTGAATCTCTTTAAGCCTGAAACAATGGAATCATTGTGAGTTTACTATTCTACCTTACTGATTTCTTAGAATCTCAATTGAATCTTGTTGAGTAGGTTGACTGACAATATCACTCTTAAGAAGTCAACAGAATGATATTTAAGATTGAAGTTCCATTACCTCCTCACTTATATGGACATTTTCTGGTTGAGCTTCAAAGCCAGATTTGACTTTCGATCGGCTTCTAGCTTTCTTCTCTCCACGCACAATTGGTTTCATACCGCCGAAACCAGTGTGTCCTAATCCAGCTAAATAATAACTCTTGTACCTCAGTTATCAACTTTCTGTTACCGAAAAGTTTCTGTACAGCAGACACGTTTTTTTCGAATTGAGCTGTAGCTTTCGAATAATCCGCGTAATGCATGCCATGTCTTGTACCATGAGCTGAAAGAGAAATTGATGGAACGTTATCGTCAAGAGTTTTGTTTATAGCCGAACTCAAGCCAACCCTTTAGAAGCTGAGTCGGACCCTAAGTTGGATGAGAGCCAATGGTGACATCACCGAATCTTCAACCTTCTGTATCTCGAAAACGAGTCATCAGAATCAATTTTTGATTTGATATTCAGAAGTTTCAGACCCGAATTAGTAAGATCA